ACAACAACTCCTTGACTGTTCTTGAATGGCCCAGCCAGAGCCCTGACTTAAACCCAATTGAGCATCTCTGGAGAGACCTGAAAATGGCTGTCCACCAACGTTTACCATCCAACCTGACAGAACTGGAGAGGATCTGCAAGGAGGAATGGCAGAGGATCCCCAAATGCAGGTGTGAAAAACTTGTTGCATCATTCCCAAAAAGACTCATGGCTGTATTAGCTCAAAAGGGTGCTTCTACTAAATACTGAGCAAAGGGGCTGAATACTTATGACCATGTGGTATTTCAGTTTTTCTTTTTTAATAAATCTGCAAAAATGTCAAAAATTCTGTGTTTTTCTGTCAATATGGGGTGCTGTGTGTACATTAATGAGGAAAAAAATGAACTTAAATGATTTTAGCATATGGCTGCAATATAACAAAGAGTGAAAAAATAAGGGTGTCTGAATACTTTCCGTACCCACTGTATATATACTGTATGTATGTATGTATATAAAAAATTCGCCCAACTTTGGGGTGAGTAGGGAATTTTTGATCTTTTCAAATAGTTTTTTTACAAATATATTCAATCTACTGTCACGCAAGACAAAAGCATGAAGTCCTCACAGCCGAGAAGCTAGAACCATAAAATGCTTGGGCATTTCTGCTTGAAAAGGAAACAACAATTTAATCATCCATCCAGTGGTTTTCACGTATTTCTGTCTATTGACTAATTGAATAAACCTCCACTTGTTTCATCTCCACTACTCAGATTCTTCAAATGCAGAACCTGAATACTGGGGAAGCTCTTGTTTGTTTTTTGAAGCCCCAGTTGAAAGTTGATTGTCAAAATCCTGTTTGCTTCCTGCAGGTCCATTTGACATTAGTTATGTTAAACTATTGAAAAAAAGTGGGAAGTACAGTAACTTAGTACATTTACTTATGTACTATTCGGAGTAGTACTGATTTCATAAAAACTTACTCTATACTGTACTTCTACTCCACTTCAGTGCATTTTTTACCCAGTGACATATTTCTCATAGCCTTAGTTAATAGGATATCAAATTATTTATGTTGAATATCATTGAGTAATGAATGAGGTATAATTATACCTTAAGCTACTCAGCAGTAGGTAAAGGTAGTCCTGACTTTGCCAGTTGCTGTGTACACATTAATGCACCATTAACATTTAATAATATATGTGATTCTGAAAGGTGCTATTCTGCATTAGAGCATGTATCGGGCCGCATATTTCTGTCTGAACCCGCCCCGTGCCCGACAGCATGGCATCTGAACCCAACTTGGACCTGACAAGCTTGTAGCATTTAATGTCTGAACCTGGTGCAGTTGAGTTTGTAGTGTTTTCCCTCTTACCATTAAAACAAGTAGAGTGCTCCAGTTGTTTAGCCTAAAGTTTGACCCACATGTCCAAACCTGACCCAGACCTGAAAAGAATTTTAAAATTTCTATCCAAACCTGGCCTGAACCCTCGGGTACCAACCGATCCCTTCGGGTCCATCAGGCTCGGTTCGAGCATCCACACTTTATTCTGCATAATGAGTGCTTTTAGCGCATTGTGAGGTTCTTTTTTTCAGCCCCCTCGTGCTTTAATTTCATCTGGTTAATTTCAAAGCTTTTGGAAAACATTCATCCTCCTGGTTTAGTTCTCAGCCTTTACGTCTTTCCTTGCTTTCATCTTACCCAACCAGAATTCGTATTGTTTTTCCCTCCCCTCCTCTCTTCCAGCATATGACCCACTTCTGCTTTTCTTTCTAACTCTCAGTAGCAGCCAAACAGATAAATCAGATGCCAAGTGTAACAGTTTTCTAATGAGGACAGAAAGAGAGGGAGAGATTATTTGGTCTAGCAGTGAGGGAATGGGTAATGGGACAGTCAAAGGCACAGATAAAAAAAGCCCAGGAAAAAGCTGTGACAAACATTAATATTAAAACCTGGCCTTTCTCAGCTGTCACAACCGAGTATGCAGAGAGTATTTTAGTTGATTTAGGCCCCCATTAATTTAACATACTTCTTTTTAACCACTGGTAAAAGAAGTACTTGAATGCTTCACTTCATTTAAACAGTCTTCTGGGACTGATTTTACATATGATGCTATTAGAGTTTTACCATTGATGCATCAGTGTGTAAGCAGCTTTTTTCAGTTGCAACTGCTCTAGGTGGAACCAGTTTTAGCATTTTTAGCTTTATTCAGAGATGGGTAGTTTGGTTCTGAACATATTTATTGTGTTCTGACCCCTTCAAAGGGACTCGAGATTAATCTGAGGGGTCGTGAGATGATTACTGGGAGAGGAAAGAAGAAAAAGTCCTCCATCCCTCCATTATCTTACAGTGTGTTGTATTTTATTATCATATGCTTATACTTATGCAAAATGAGTCTTAAAGGTCAAATAAATGTATAATCTCTCTCAGAATCAGTTTGTCAAGTACAAGTAACTCTGAACTTTTTAAGTAAATGCACGTTGTTACTTTGTTTTTAATATACTCCTTGTGATACAGCCTCTTACAAAATGTGGTGAGATTCCATTTTCTGACATGAAATATCTTCCCGCCTTGTCAGTCTTGATAGCTTTCCACATTTTTGAAATAATTCACAGATGTCAGCTCACTTGCACCTTTTCCTACTTTTACAAACCCTCTGTACATTTGTATCCACATGACTCCATGTTCCCCGTGGTCAAGATTCAAGGGATTATAATGTCACTGGACTGTGAGTGTCAGACTGCAGCGGTAGAACTGTGAAATTACCGATTGGGCTGGTTCTCTGTTGGATTTTGCCTGAGTCTAGAAGCACTGTTACCATCAGTAGTGAAACAGTCACCCTTTTTTTTGGTGAAGCATGAAGGAAGCACAAGCCATCTGTAACCCTGAGAAACAAGCTCAGGCTAGGAGGAGAGAAGACAAGCACATTCAAAGGAGAGGGCTTCAGTAAGGTGTACGGGCATTGCACATTATTTCCCAAGCGGCAGAGGCTCCAAATGACTGGCTACTGGCTACAGTGTCAGTGCATTAGTGTAAATAATGACTAACAAAATCCTGTGTGTTTGACAGAGGGAGCTGAATAAATATGTCAGCTGCACAAGCTGGGATATTGCTCTTATCATTATTATGACTATCTTTCTTTATTATGTCTGACTGCTATTAAAGCAACCCCCTTGTCTCCTTGTACAAGTTACAGCCGTGTGTGTTGTTTTGATGAAGCACAGCAATCCTTTTTAGCTTACTGAAACAGCTAATACTGTTGGTTCAACTTGAGCCTGATGAACAAAACCTCTTATGCACATACTCCTCTGCTTTATATGCACACAAACTGTCCAAGGAGTAGTGCTGGCAGATGCACTGCGACCAATCACTTCAGTTTGAACAAACCAATAGATCAGATGATAGAATACTTTTTATATTGTGTGAGAAGCTTACCTCCTCCGCATGAGTGACTAAGTGGAGAGGTGGACAGCCCCGCTACTTGAGGGTTCATTTCATTCATGTCTCTCTATAATTGTGTAGCTTGAAGCTAATGGATGTCATGTTAATGATAGAATATACAGAGAACTCTCAAAAGCTGAGATGTCTGGGTTTGCCTGTCAACATGACCTTTGAGTTGCAGCACAGACTCTCTCACCTTGGCATTTCACTCATATTGACAGTGTGAAACATGCAGTATGATATTAGTGTGCGTATCTACTTAGTGCATGGTATTGAAATAATGCCGTATCTAGAGCTGCAACAACTGGTCGATAATTTTTTGTCAATCTGCTAGTTATCTCTGAAACTCAGACAAGGTGGAGGTAATGTTTTTGCTGGCATTCATTTGTTTGTTAGTTTATTCATAGCATAACTCAAGAAGTAATAAATGGATTTGGATGTTTTTTGAGAGGTAGGATATGGCCCCTAGAACAAACCATTAGATTTTGGTGCTGATCTGGCTCATCATCCAGATCCAGGAATTTTTTAAAGGATTCATCACCATTGTGAGAGAGGGCAGATTTCACTATTTTTGCCTCTAATTCCATACATAAGGCCTAGAATGCTGGGACAAAAATGCACAATAACATCCACATACTGGATATTTCAGGAGAATACAATCCACATTCACAAAATCCAGTAAAATGTCATGGCAATTTAGCATTTAGAGTAAATTAGGCAAGATTTAGAAGATAGGCTGATAAAAATTCTCTGAGACCTTTGAGAAACAGTGTGTGAGAAGCCATTTTCTGTAATCTAATAATAATTTGGGGAAACAGTCTGATACAGGGGAGTTCGCCTTCTTTGACTCATCACTCGAACCAGTGATATTTTGTCAGTATTTGACATGTGGCAAGGAACTTGTCAGCACCAAGTGCAGCCAGAGTTTTTCAGCAGGGGAATTTCTCTAACAGATGTTTTCTTTTTATTTTTTTTTGGATAATACTGGGGCTCTGGGATCTCACTGGACTATCAACAAGAGCCTCTCACTCACCCAATGTCAAGCAAGGCTTCATAGAAAATACCAGCATTAACGGTGAGGTGGGGGATCTGATTTCTGTAAAACATGTTTTAGTTTGTGATTATTATTGATCTACACAACCAGTGTGACCCCCATCTCCCCAGATTTGTGAGGTGAGTTTGACATGCTTCAGTTACCGCTGATTGGCATAATAGAGTTGATGTCTACTTGCTATT